ATTTCAAGATTATGTCGAGGTCATTTTACAGTTCTACAACATAAACTGTCTATCAGAATTTTAATTACATTTCATAAGAGCTGGCAAAAGTATTGTCAAACATGTTTATCTCTTTGCATACTCATAATCTTCTGATCTTAACAGCAGAAACACATTACTGCATTTATTATTGTAATTCTCAGTCATCAGAATGACTAGTAGCACAGTCACTTTGAGATCAGAAATATAAAATTAAAATCATATTTTAAAAAACACCAGTTCTGTGATACAGTGACAGTACAAAGAATACCAGTGTCTAGCTTGCAGATAAATTAGATTAACAAGTTAACAAAATAAGGTACAATAGCTAATATACCTACTATATATATCCTAAGGCTATTAAATATATAATGAAATCAGCTTCAGTTACCAGGTTAGCTGAGTTTTTCAGAATTGATCACAATTATATACATTTGGTAAGTTTGTTAAGAAAATATGTATTTCTGCCTATTCAGCTATCTTGTAAAATTGCTGTGTAAGAGTGCTTAATACTGGTGCCTTCATCTCACTGGTATTTGTACAATGAGCTTAGAAACATTAACCACGTGAGGGAAAGTAATTCAAAGATGAACAACAGAGTCCTTGTGTGCCTGGCACAGCTGGCACTGCCTGTATTATTTCAATCAAACTCTGAAGACAATCAGTTCAAGGAGGAACCTGAGAAAGTTCTTGTGCACATGTATCATTTCCCTAGAATATGAGCCCCAGAGTTAACATAAGCTCAACACAAAGTTACCATTTTCATATAGTAGCCTAAGTGAATAATATTGCTTGAGCAGAACAAGTTCAACATTATGTCTTCTACAGCTGACCAAGTGTCAAGAAGTGCAGTAGGAGAGACAGACACATGAAAGGAAGAGGAGACAGGAAGACCAAAAATACAATGCAACAGAACAATAGCCATTTTCCAGAAATGGGTGAATGTCCCAGAGAAAGACAGAGTGGGATGGTCACACCTTTGATTCTTTAAAGATTGGAAAAAGGCAGTAGGGTAAATATTGCACATGCCCTAACCTTGACCTCCTTCCAGATCCAGGCAAGTCCCCAGTAAAAGTGGGAACATGTTTATAGAGTTTTGAGTAGTCAGAATAATAATAGGAATAGATAGCTTATCTTTTAATTTTTAAGATGACAAATTTTTGGGTGATGTTGTTTTGTACTCCTAAATTTACCTCTGAGCTTCTCTGTAGCCTTGATAAATAACAGTTCACAGCTGCTGAAGAGATTAAGATCAAAGAAGAGAAGTGGCCACACTGCAAACATCTATACAACCTTATAGCAATTGAGTGTGAAAATGAAGTCTGATTTAAGGATGGCACACAGATGAGCATTCATCTTGCCTTTCCTCAGTAAGACACTCACCCATTTCCACCTATGAGGAGGCAAAGAGTATCAGTGTTCAGGGTGTCCTGGTGGATTTGCATTATTTCAATAGTATCTTTGTGAATGAGGATGACGTTTAATTTTTTTCACTGATTTACAGATATTTTTTTTGGCTGTTGATCAACTATGATATTATACATCTCTACATCAAATTAAAATATTTTACTTGATACTTGCATCCTATCGTATTGGTTTGTTTTCTGCAAGCACGTACAGGTAATCTGTACCTCTCTTTGCATGGCACAGCTCTTTCTGAATGTAGTATTCAAGCCCTAGGTGCTTTTCTGAATCAGGACAGTGACCGTGTTCTTTACTTGCTAGTCTGTTCTATCTTCATTGTTACTGTAGCAGCAGGAATTAAACTGTGAATAGAAATATGGATCTGAAGGAACGACAGACTGTTTGTAGTAGCTCTAAGGCTTCCATAATGGACACCCACACTTACTATAACCCAAAGGATGTGCAAACATAAAAAGCATTTTTACCCTGCACAGTATTGGTGAAACTTCTGTTGGCAAAATATATTTTACTGATGTTTTTGTAAGTTATAAATACATTTTGGCAGAGACAAATACAATTTATATTTAGGAAACACCCCCATATTCTGAGATGGCCAAGCTGCAAACAGGTTTAGGCTCTAAACATATTGCACCTCAGAGCAGCACTGCATCACCATTAAATAAAGGAGACTGAGCATTTCTGCAGGCACACATATTTAAAAGTGGTTACAGTAGCTACAGGGAGATGGCATTATGTGTTGATCTTCTGACATCCTGCTGTCTTTTCCTTTTCCAAAACTTTCTGAGACCTCTTCAAGGCTTGCAAGATACAATGCTAAGCAATCTGAGATACCAGCAGTTATACTGAAGCATGCTAAAATATGTATTAAACAGCGAGAGGCCACTGCCATCAAGTTACTTCATTTTACTTTGACTGGATATCTTACCTAACTATCCCTACAGTAACATTTGCTATGCTACGTGGTGGCTATCTATACAGTTCTGTTAACGCCATTAACCTTAGAGCAGCATGGAAAAATATGCAAAATTAGCATTATGCAGAGTAGACTTTTACTTTCAAATCCTCAGGTATAAGAATCTCTTTGACTCAACTCTGTAACTCCATGGGGAATACCTTCAGGGCCAAAAAGGAGTGAGAGGTCAGTCTCCCAAAATACAGTCCAACCTTCAGCTTTCCTTTGGTTTGCAGTCCCCACCTGCTCTTCCTTCCAAGACCATGCATGTTATGCCAAAGTTCTAACTTGGGTGGAATGGTGAAGATATCATCTACTTTCTGATGATAAAAACATTTTTTTAAGTTTAATTCAGCTTATTACCCGTGTGCACAGAAAACAGGAATACCCGTATCTTGAACGGCCACTTTTCAAAGTCAAATACAATGGCAGCTGTATGCCATTCGCTCTAGAAATAATTTAGATAAAGTAATAAATTAATGTATATTCTCTATGTGCAGCTACAAGAGCTTGGCAGAAAGGCATGCTGAAACTAAGTACCTCTGGAGACATCACTGGAGACAAAATGTTTAAAATGTTTCTTCCCTTGATCCATGCTGAAAGCAAACAGTATTTCTCGCACTTACGGCTCCCTTGGCTGAAGACACCTGGAATTTTGAGGCTTTCTGCTATGGAGTCAGTGGCTGATACCACCACCTCACATAACAGACACTAATATTCATGACCCTGAAGGAATGTTCCTCCTCCGGCTCTAGCAAGGTCAGGGTTTGGTGATGTTTTGAAGCATGAAGATTGATATCCCAAATATAGTTTTAGATACACAAGTATGAAAGTTGTTATTAACTGTATAAATGCCTAATTTTTTTTTTACATCTTTTAAAACAGTGAGTATGGTAGACCAATTCTGTGATCTGTGGCAACTGCACCCATTTATTAGTTTCAACTCTTCTGGAATTTGTTTCTTTACAAAGTATACTATAAGATTAAAATAGTAGCAACTAAAGCTTTCTCATAGGTTGCTTATTATTTCACATCCCCCTCTACATGTTCACTTTTATCTGTAAACTGAGAGCTCCTCCTATTTCAAAATATTCCCACGTGAAAATATTTTAATTATTTTATTGCTCTTTTCTAAACACTTTGAATCTCTATCATCTGCTTTTGGTCACTTCATGTCAGAAGCATAAACTATGACAGATTAAAATATTCCCATAATTCATGAAACACCATGCCTTTACTAGCACTACCCGCTTAAATTTTTCATGCTTTTGCCCAGAAGTGCACACTGAGCAAGCCACAGAGAATTTAAATTTTCTTCATCACTAGCTGTGGTTAACCAGAAAATGAAAACTGTGTTGAGTAATTTTTCATTACTTCATAAGGTATATGAACCATATTTCTTGTATGCAGATTTTATACTGTTTCAGGTCATATAATCACCTTGATTTATTTGATAACAAATAATGAGTTCTGCAAATGGTGCATCTTTGCTGTCCAGACATCCTTTCTAAATAGTTAAGTCCTAGGCAAATCCTTTTGACACCCTACTATTAATGTTATCTTATTCTGAAAGGAGAGCCTTTGTAAGCTCCTTCCCTCTTCACATCTTTTAACCAGATTATTGCAATTTGAAAAAATTGTATAGGCACATCTGAGAAATTGCAAAATACAGTTGACTGCAGTAGAAAACAACTAAAAATATAGGCTTTTGCACACAGGGATCTTGATAGCTGGTGGCATCTAATGTTACAGTTATTAGCATCTATTTACACTCATTTCAAGACCTTCTGTCCCCTTCCCAGGAGTCCGTAAAATTTCAGATCCTCAGAATCTTTAACCTAAGACATTGTGCTGGCATATGAAAAGCCATGAACAATATTTCTAGCCAATATCACTAGAAAACTAGAAGTGTACTTTTCTTGATATTTATTTCTATTGCAAAGACATGTAAAACTGATTTTGAACATGTCATTTCAGCCATTTAACTAGTCTTCACTCAATAGAGAATTTTGCAGTCTGCCAGCTAAATGAACCTAACAGCACTCACCCATGAATAAAACCCACAAAATATAGGAAATGACACATTCCTAACATCCTAGAATTTATGTTATTTTGAAAGCACATCTTCTACACACTATAGAAACAAAGGTTAAAAAAACCCATTTATTTTAATTAATTGGTCTGTAATTATCTGAATATTATTATTTTTTCACTTAAGAACACATCTTCTTGAAGAGTTTATAGCTGTTATACATGTAAAATATACAAGTAGATGAATAACAGCAAGCATTTTTACCAATTACTTTTAAAATATTCCAAACTTTGTGTTCACTATAAAGTGCAGCAGGTGTGATATAACAGAAGAGATCTCGAGCATGTAGTCTGCCACTTAACCATCTCATTTAGTCCAAGAAACTCCACAGGATTATTTAAAGCATTTAAGCAATTTTCTCTATTGAGGAAAGTAGGATCTTAATTTTAGGTGTCTAGTTAGTGCGTTCTACTAGACTGTGGAGAAATTGTCTATTACTCACACTAGGTTATAAAACTCAGTTAACTGGAAACAATGTTCAAGAAGTCTGGATGAATGATCATGAAATCTCACCTGTATTTTGTGCAGGTAGAGTTTTGATGTGAAGGATCTGGTGGATTAAGTGTGATTCTTGGCGAGACCTGAGCTGATAGCAAAAATCCCGAAGCTAGGATAATGAGTGCTACAGCAGTACCTAAAAATACAGATAGAGAACAATGTGATACTTTTCTCCAGAGCACATGAAATAATTCTCTACTGAACTGAACTATGCCTGGGAAAGCAAGTCACAGAGCATTTGCTAAGGAACTGTGGTGAGAACCTAAGAAAAACACCCTTTGCTACATCCACTTCTTGAAGCAGGTTAGATGTTAAAATCAGTTTAATGTCCAGATATGAAATTAATAGGTTGAGAGGTTTTTTAATACGTGGAATCAAAGACTGCATTAATGAATGGATATGTTCTTTATGGTGCTGAAAATAATGCTGTAAAGGTAAAATTTAATAGTGACTGTGGTGACTTTGTCACCAAACTTCTTCCCACTCCCAACCCAGACCTGCAGGCTTTCCTGTAAAACAGAGAATAGCATCAGCTTTTTCATTGACTCAACTTCCTTTTGTGAAACAAGACAAATTTGACTTTTCATAAAAACACCACCAAAAAGCCCAACTGCAATTTCTGATCTTGTTTCGAAGAACACACATATCATGTGCTAGGAAAGAGTCCCCTTTCACCTGTTTGTCCCCCCAACAAATTTCTTGTGCATGAGTTGGGCAAAATGATGAGGGAAGATGGCAAAAAAAGGTTCATACTTAGTGCAACAGGCCACTACTAGAACATAACTCATAGTTTTCATACCTTATTTGTCACACACAATACACTGTATCATTTTAATTAAAATTGATATACTTCACTACTCATGATACTAGTGCAACTATCCCAAACTCAGATTTGTAAAACTTTTACATCTTGCTACTTGATGAGGCAGGGTTCTATGTCATATAAAACACCCTGTATACCTATGTCTATACTCACTATATAAATATGTGGCATGTTTTATTTGAGAGGGCACACATAACATGTATAGCCTGATCTAAGAATACAAAACTAGTAATAACATTATTTATGAGTTAGTTACTAATGATCTAACATTACCCTTACCATAGAAAAACAGACTCACAAAACCACTGAAGCACATTCCAGCTGGAAGGCAACATATATTCAGAAGTGCACAGTGATACAGCTTAATGGTTGAGGGCAAAAGAAGGGATACAGTATTCAGTTCCAAATATACAGATATCATCCCTTTGCTCTGTTTCTCAGAAATGCATCTGTGCAAACCTGTAGAAATGTCACTACATAGGAAACCTTAACATGTCATTCTGGTAATCTTTAAGAAATTACATGTTATATGTTTTTTATTTTGGGGTTTGGGGTTTTTTTTGGTGGTCAGAGGGGATGTTTTGGCAGTTTTGGGGCTCAGTTTGATGGTGTTTTTAAAGAGAAAAACAAGAGTTTCCTAGCAGGCAAACCCATGCAGTATGTGAAAAGCTTTTTCTGAGATATAAATAATATCTTTAGTACCAAGATCTGTGCAATAAAATTATTCATGAATGTGTCTGTGCAGCACCCATGGCTAATAGGCATGAATATGCATCAAGTGCAGATGATCTGACCCCACATTTACCTGAACCAAGGCAACTAAGACCTTAAACTCAATCACAAACTATGTGGAGAAAGCTCCTACCCACCATAAAATGTGATTTCAGCTCATTCTATACTTAGCTTTGTACTGCTATGGCTAGTAGGTATGCTAATAATCAGAGCTTTCTGTGCAGGCTAGATATTGCACTAGATTTACAGTACTTTCAAAATGCCATAAACCAGACAGCAAATACCTTTAGACAGGGCTTATAATCTTATTCATATTCATTCTAAATATGCTTTGTCTCTCTTTTCAGTTAACCAAATACACTGACACTCACTTTCAGTACCTCTGCAAATGTCTTACTTCTTTGGAAAAGTACCAAATATGTAAACTTGGCAAATGAACTTTATTATATATTTTCATTCTGTGGGAAGTTTGTCTATGATGAACAAAAACAAACAAAAAACCCCATACAAAACCAATACATCATTAGCTGAGATGAAACAAGAAAAAAAGGAAATATCCTGAAGATATTTTAGACTCTCTCTGTTACAAAGAGAGATATAAATTGTCCAATGCCCAAGTACCAACATGCTTTCAAATTGACAATTTCTGAAGGGGAAAAAGGAAAACACAAATAAAATAGATACTGCACTTGTCAAAATTCCTGCATGTTTCACAATTAATAGCTTTGAAGAAAGAAATTAACCAAAGAAAAAGAGCAGAGGAAAGATAACTAAATGATGCCAAGATACAAAATGAATAGGAAACTAAGATGAATCAGTAGCTGTAGAAATGAGAACTTAAAAGGTGTGATTTTTTTTTTTTTTCAGAAGCAGTTTACTATAATTTTCCTAATGCTTCTGGATCTATCTGAAAGGCTCAATTTTTCATAAGTTGCTAATTTTAAAAAATTATAAAGATATATTAAATTAAATGTAAAATAGCTCTTTCCCAAATGTTTTCAGAAAGCAGGAAAAGATGCATGAGTTTACAAAACAATTACAGTATGCTGGCTTTGAATCGAAATATTAATGTTACTATCTCTCTACTGATTATTCTTGTAGGTTATCAGCTAACAAACATCAAATCAATTAACCTTTACCAAAAATACCCCACACCCTTGCAGCAGCAGGCAAAGGTAGTAATTTTGTCTTCATTTTATGTAATGGGAGACTGGAGCATACTTGGCTCCTCCAAAGACTGAAGAAGCAGCTAGTAATAACCCAGTGTGAAAGTCAATGTCCTCAGAAATGCAAACCAAAGTAGAGCAGTAAAATATATTTACCCCATGAGAAAACTAATCATGGAAAACAAATTCATCAACAGATTTAGTAATTATCCTTTTATTATATTAAACAGCCCTCTTGCAAAGGAAAACATGTTGTATCCACCTAAATCAGTGTCAAACATTGCATTAAAAAATTCTAAATAGTACAGAGAGATGACATATGATTTCATTACCATCATTATTTGCATTTTCTTTAAGGAGGGACTATATAATAAAGAACACAACAAGCAATGAAGCATAGGTCAAGTGACACTGCAGACTGACAGCCAGCAACTGACTACAGAAGAAAGGCCATTTTTACCAAACAATTACTTTGTGTCCAAACACCATAAACAAATAACGCTTAACTATATTATGTTCCTTTGTTAATTCTGTGTCTTATTTCTATATCTTCCTCTGTTCTATGACTAATATGATTTGTAAGAGACATTTGTAGCTACATTTCAAAAGTATGACCTCTGAATATGTTAACCAGTCAAAAAGCAAAGAGTTCTGTGTATGAAAAGTCCACATGGGAATCACACCTACACAGCTGGGTCCAGATAAGCAATAAATTAATGTAGACTGGCCAGGCATATGAGGTTATTTGGGCCATATATATAAATATATATAAAAATATTCCATTCCAGTAAGTATAAGGCAGATGCAGCACCCAAGAACCAGAAGTACCAGTGCAGGGCCAGGAGAGGTCTGCTTCACAGAATGACAAGAAAACAGACAAGTACCACAGGAGAAATAAGCTATTAAGCATAGGAAATGGCACAGAACCAGGTACTTTACCTCTGAAAGTCTTGGCACTGGCTGGAGGCACAGAACAACTTACAGGGGAGATGTATTTTTAGCTGATCTAGAAGTAGACTGTGATACAAGTAGCAATTTGAGACTTTTGGTTTTTTAAGACATGAGGAACATGTTTTTCTGATCTCTGTCATGACCACATTTCTGAACATGGATCAGGAAAAATGCTTAAGGTTTCTTGATTCCAAATCAAAATGGTAACACACCAAATACACATTTATTATAACTTGAAATACCAAATCGCTTCCTGCATGTTTTAACTTACAGATTTGAGTAACTGTGTATCAAAGCAGACAGGGCACTGTGCCATCACTGTTCTGCCTATATAAAAGCATTCAAATACTGTGACTGTAGATTAACTCCCATCCCTTGGGAACTGCAGATGGCCAACGACTTGGCAGGTGGTCCCCCACTCTGTCGTGTTGCATTAACTAGAAGTTTGGATGCCTGACAGCAACAACAGAACAAAATATGGAGATGTTAAACCTTCCCAGCTAAACAGTTGTGAACATTATTTCAAGCGAAGCAGGAACTGTTTCCCTTTACCAAACCCTGTCTGAAACATTCAGACATTCAGCCAGAGGTAGGTAGCACTCACAGATCACTTCTGGCAGAATGTGTATGTAACATGGGAGCAAGTAGGGATTTACTGGCTGTAAATGGCAGGATGTCGCTGAGTGTAGGCAAGACTGCTCGCTCTGCCTTTTCCTGCTTCCAAGAGATGGCTACATGATGAGTTACAGTGTTTGAATATTTGGACAAAACGTGCAAATCCAGAATTCTGTCTTTTAGTATCTCATACAGGAGATGAATTAAAATCACATTAGTGTAGGTAAGGTATTTACCTACACTAAGGTACTGCATTTGAGATAACTATACAAAGAACTGTATTACTTTTTAAAATGTGTCACAATGGCTATATAATATGCTTTCCCCCATAGTTCTTGATAAGATATTCTGAATTTCAATTAATGACCCAGAAATTACATATCACACATACACACATGAGATGTAAAAACTAACCAGCTGTGAAGTTCCAATCATTTGATTCCTTATACTGAAAAAAAAGGCATAAAAACCTAAATAAAAACATTGTCAAACATGGCTTGAAGGAGAAACTGCACCTGAAAACATAATATGCTAAACTGTTCTTTTGTAAATTAGCCTTTAGCTGTGATACTAAACTACTAGTCTATATGATTTCAGGGAGAAGATGGAGTCAACACATTTTAAAGAGGGCTACTTTGAAGAAATCAGTACTTGAAATTTTATTTTCATTTTGTTAATGAGTAAAATACAATACACTAATTAAACACTCACCTGTTAAGCTACCAAGTGTAAGTTTCCGGCGACCCATTCTTTCAACAAGCCAGACTCCCACAAGAGTAAAAATGAAGTTTATAAATGCTGTCAGTGCAGCCAGCCAGATTGCAAGCCTGTCGTCTTCAACACCTGACATCTGCAAAATGGTAGCACTGTAGTACCTGCAAGCAGAGAGAAACACAAATATGAACAGTGATGATTTGGCTCATGTCACAATTTCTGATTTTAAATTGAAAAAAATCATAACAAATATCAAGTGTGACATCCCACAAAGTTTTGACTGGAAGACATCAAGAGATGAATTGCTATTCTCTTGGCTGTTTGTATTTCCAATGGTCAATTGTATTCTGCTAGAAATGGGGCTTGCATTTTTAATTTAAATGAATCTGGCTTTCAAATCCAGATGTTGCTTTGTGCTCTATCTTTTTTCTGCCAAAACATGCAGGATTTTAGCACTCTGTGTACTGTCTAGGGAAAGATAGCTCAAAAAATCAAATATATTTTCAGTCCCGTTAAAGGTCATACAGAACTAATCTATGGCATCCAACGTGTTGCAAGTGACACTTGCAACCTCCTGGTTTTAGGTTTTGCAGTTTTATTTCACTGCCACTGAAATGCCTGAAACCCTCTCTATCGTATTACTTTTGTCTTAACCAGAATACGATTGCTTTGAAATGACTTAGCACCAACTTTGCAGGGATGTGAATGTGCACCCAACAGAAGCATTTGACAGAAACTTCTAATTCTCTCTCAAATGAATCAACCATTCCAGACAAACAGTAACTCATAAATAAACCAACTGAGCAAAATGAAAAGGGAAGAAAAAGGAAGCCTTCTACCATTTTTCACAGAGACCAAATGAACTCAGATATTGTGCCTGTGTTCTCAGGGAGAGCTAAATAAACCTTCAAGAAAACACATGAGTAGTATTGTTCGTGCTGCCAAGCATTTTTCATCTTGTTCTATTAATCTGTGCTGACTCAAATACTGAATATTCAAGTCCTCAAATACCTAGCAGCCTACAGTCTATCACACAGTAATAACCATCAAAAATGTCAGAGCTCACTTGATTTTTTCCTGGCCAAAATGCAGTTTGCTCTTAAATATCCCCTTGTCTTAATGCCCAGATGTGTTATCCTCAGAAATTTCAGTGGTCCATGTTTTTCTAGTCTAAGCATAAAACACTTCTAATTTCATATCAATAATCCATGATGGACAATATGCTCAGCTGACTACTTGCAAAAGTACTTGAGCCATTTAATACATTATCAGTCATAAGTGATTGTGCCTATGTCTGGATGTTACTGCCTTGCCTGTAGGCTAAGGCAAGGTCTTTAGATGCTCCCACCTCCCTTCCTCACCTCTTCTTCCCCACCAGTACAGCCATCTGAGGCCATGCCTACACAACCAACTCATGGTGCAGCAGCTGAGAACCTTCAGAGCGAAACTGTTGGTACTGAAGACTCAGTATCTACATACATATGGGTTTGGAGCCTGACTCTGTGGCCTGCCTGCCCATTAATGGCTGCAATGCCTTGTCCAGGCTCATTTCATCTGAAAGGGCTGCACAGTCTGAGTCCAAGATTTGCACTCAAATAAACAGGTGCAAATCTTGGAGAGAAGGATAGACTTCATCTGAATTAAAGTGCTAATGTTAATACACCCTCACTTCTTAAGACACTCTAAATTAAATTGCTAACTGCCTGTCAAAACTTACATTATACTGCACTGTTCTAGTCACCAAAATCATCCAAACAGTCTCTGATCTCCCAATACATCTTTCCTTCTCTTCTTAAGGGTAGGAAAATAACAATAAATGTCAAGTCTTGGCCTGCCGACATCTACTATGAAATTCCTATTTACTTCCACCAGACAAGGCTTCAGGAAGCCACATTTAACTCCACACATCTAAATCTTCTCAAAATCCAGTTCTACTGTGAAGTCAGAAATGGCCAGTTGTCAGCAGCAAAGTATAGCATGCTTATTCTATACGGTTAAAAAAGCAAAAGACTAAAGAATCACATAAAAGCATGTAGATGTCTACTGCCTGATATATACAAACAGGCACCTTCTGCTCCCAGCATTTCTTCTGGTTGCTTATTGCACTCACTGGTTATATATTCTCAACTAGAAGCTTACTGTTTATCCATAAATACACAACATATTTCATTTCTATGGAAAACAAACCAGGGAACTTCAGATTCTACAAATTCAAATGCCAAGCCACCAAAGCCTGTGTGCTGGTCAATGACTTTCATGTTTATTATGGCATAGCAATTTAATTTCAAAAATTTGAAAGAACACTTGCATGGATTATGATAACTACTAAATATATTTGCTTATATTTATGTATTTTAGTATGCCACATTTTTTATATCAACCTGTGCAGCCATAACTGCCTATTAATGTAACAAGATGACAGGTCTTTTTAATTTCTTCCTGTCAAGAAAAAAAACAAACTATGTGGCAGAAAAAGGTCAAGTTGTGATGATATACAACCGCAGTGAATACTGCAGCTCCTGCAAGGAATGCAATTTCACTGACAAAGTTGTACAGTCCTAATTTATTTTCTTAAATGTAAACAAAATTACAAAAGCACATGTGTATCCTTGAATTTTTAAGCAAGTGCTGTATCTTAGAAAGCAAAGAATTACAGACAATTACAAAGCCACACAAAGCATCCAAGTCAGATATATACAGAAATACTTAATCTTGATCATTTCTGAGGATGCCAAAATTATAAAGTTGCTCTATCAAGAGGTGCTGTACATTACAAAAAAACCCTGAAGCATTTCCAGATTCAAGAATCCTCAGAGTAATCCTTTGATTATATACTGAAAATGCATAGCATGGGAGGAAATGAAGCACCCCCAAACACTTTCTTCTCCTTTAAAGAGTCAGTATTTTTTTTAAAGCAACAATATTCAATGTCTAAAGAAAAAGAGAATCTCTCCACTTCGAGCAGGTCTTACAGATAATTTGAGATGCATCAGGGTTCCCAGGTCAACGCATTCAGCAGCAGAGAAACAGCCCACTATGCCAGACTTTGTCAAGAAGCTGCCATCACAGATCTGATTGCCCCCATCTTTCACAAGGAGCTGCTCCAGCCTATCTGGTATATCAGGCCTACTCCAACAAAGGTTCTATCTAAGGATGTCAGTATTTTTGGACAGAATGTGTAATCGTTGTAAAATTAATGAATAAATCTAAGTAACTCAGTAGTATCTTTCAACATCTTGAAAAAAAATTTACATTTTTGCTTTTAAGAAATCAAAATTGGAGTACTCTGGCACTGCTTTGCAAGGGTTTGTTAACATTTTCTAGCACTAAACTTTGGAAATCACTGTCCAGCTACTCAAATTATTCAGTCCAAGAAAATCAGCCCCTAGAGATAACAAAACTCTCTATCTTTTTTCTCAACTCAACTGAAATAATGCAAAGAGAAATGGCAAGCAGTACAATAGCCAAGAAGCAAATGACTGAATATCAAAGAAAATACAAAATGGTGGCAATTTCGACAGTTTTACATGCTCTATTTCTGCAACTGTGGACGAACAAAGATCCTCTCTTTCTGCTCTATCAGTTTATTATGTGTTACAATTATTGGACTAAGACAGACAAAGGTATTCATAACAAAATATGCTCCACATTCACAAAAAACGGTGTTTCATTTACATTTTCAACCTGTTTCTCTGCTCCTTTATGAATTACTAAAGCTTATTCCCATCACATTTGACTTCCAGCTTGGGAGCTGCATTAGAGCCATCCAGTGTTACCCAGCCAAGGTACCAAGGGCACTGCAGCTTCCCCGGCTCTGAGCAGTAGGGCTGACATCCTGAGGGAAGCCCCGTCACAACCTCTTCCTGATGATAGCCCCAACTAGAGCAACCTGTGCTGCAACATGTAAGACAGAGCATAGTTATTCTAAACCCAGCAATATAGTACAGCCTATACACACATGGAATATAGAGTCTTGTCCTCCAGATGACTTCTGAAGTGGTGAAAAGTTCACATGAGAAGCAGCAAGTCCACATTTTCAGGTACAAGCACTTGCAGGCGGACCATGATGCCATCTATCAAAACAGGCAGCTGCACTAGTATGAGACTACGCTAATGCCAACTGGGAAGTTGGACCATTTAGACAGACACCATCTTGTAAAATAAATCTGAGGGACTAATGATAATTCAAATCTCACATTGATTTGAACAAGAGTATCCCATTCAACTTATAAGTCTTCTGTTTCATATTTCCCTCCTTTTGCAAACTATCCCACATCACTGTAAATACTGTTATAACATTCTCCAAGAGAGCTGCTTGTTCTGACACATGCTTTGAATATATACATTACAACAACAAGGAGGAAAACAGGTTAAGCCATCCTTTCACATTTCACCTTGGGGTGGTGCAAGATCATGGTGGTTTTACACCTTCTAACCTGAACAGCAACAGCCCAACAAATGGCATTGCCATGGTGTGGAATACAGAACCTCGGCAGCAACACCACACTTTGCAGTGGCTGGCTTAGTTTGCTGCCTCCCACTCGCTGCATAATGAGCGACTTGGGGAAAGATCCCATGCTCCTACATACAGGTCCTGAATCTTTCCACCTACTCAAAGGCCTGATGTAAATTTTCACGTGATATACTTTTGCTGAGAACTAAAAAATGAATTTGTATAATTGTACTATTACTATTAACTGTTTTAAATCCTGCAGATGTACACACCTTCCCCTTTAGCCTTTTGTTTGCAACTTGAACACAACAATCTTATCATGTCTGTAATTTCTGAAGATTCAGAGGTGCTGAAGAAACAAGAAGTACAAGCCAGGAAGCTCCCATTGGTATTACCACTGCTGTAAAGAGGCCAGGCACATCGAGTAACTGCTGTTTATTGAAAGATGGGATATAAAAGCTTGAGAACACCTTCTAGAGCAAGGCAGGCTTGTGGACAGAGCAAGCTTCAATCTGCCTGTCCCACCCATTTACACCTATGTTATGAAACGGATTTAATCAAGAAAGTTTAAGTTGACACTTTCACCACTAAGGGCCTGCAGAGTTACCACAGCTTTACCAATATCTTAAACTGTGGCAACTCAGCTGTGTCCACGAACTCACAAAAACAGCAAGAGAAAGCAAGAGCAGCACATGGGAAATTCAATGC